CTTCTCCTCTCCTCTCCTCTTCCGTCCTCTCTCCACTCTCCTGTCTTCTGTCCTCGCTCTCCTCTCTTCTCCTCCCTCCTGCTCCTCTCCTCTCCCTCCTCTCTCCTCTCCATGATCTCCTCTCCTCTCCCCTCTTCTTCGCCTCTCTCCTCTCCTCTCTCCTCTGCTCTCTCCCCCCTCCTCGCTTCAATACTCTCTCCTCTCTCCTCGCCCCTCATCCCTGCTCCTCTTCTTTCCTCTCCACACCCCTCTCCTCTCTTCTCTCCCCTCCCCTCATGTACCCTCTTCTATTCTCTTCTCTCCTGTTCTATCCTCCCCTCTCCCCTATATTCTCCTCTCTCCTCTCCTGTGTCTCTTCTCTCCTGTCGCTCCTCATCTCTCTTCTCTCTTCTACCCTCTCCTCTGTCCTCTCTCCACTCTCCTGTCTCCTCTCCCCTCTCCTCTCTACTGCATTCTCTCCCCCCTCTACCCCCCTCTCCACTACTCTACCCTCTCCTCTCTCCTGTCTCCTCTATTCTCTACTCCTCTCCCTTCCTCTCGCCTCCCCTCACCACTCCCCTCTCTTCTCTCTCCTCACCACTCTATTCTACGCTCTCCTCTCCCCTTTCCTCTCCTCTCTCCTCTCCCGAAAGAAAAGAAACATTTAAAAAAGAAAGTGGACACAGGCAGACACTAAAGGCCAGCGCCTATCTGATTCCACTCAGAGGAAATGCCCAGAAGGGGTTAATCCAGAGACTGCAGATTTGTGATTGCCAGGGGCTAGGGAAGAGCGACTGCTAACAGGTCCAGGGTTACTTTTGGGGTGAAGAAATGTACTGGAATTAGATAGTGGGGATGGCTGCACAACACTGTGAATACACAGAAGACCCATGGAACTGTTATACTTTAAAGGAGCAAATTTCAGGGTATATATATATATATATATATATATATTGTACCTAACACAACATAAAGAGTAAACTCTGTCATGAGATGCCAATAGCACTCACAATAAAAACTGCCTTAGCGATAAGACAGCTAAAGGCAGGAATGCCGTAACCAATGTTATCCAACCAGGGATTTGTCTCCCAAGCGCAGTCAGCCCTAGAGCCACACAGAGCACTCACCGCTTCTATTTCCAGCAGGCTGTTCTTGCTTTCCAGTGTTCTCACGCGGCTCGCAGCTTCACTCAGGGCACTGTCTAATTGGCCACATCTGAAAACCAGAGAGCAAAACTAAACAGTGAAGGATAAAAAGTTTTTCCCTTAAAAAAGAAAAAAAGTCACATCAATCTAACGCATTCTTTAATACAGAGCATCCAACGCATTCGCCAAAGCCCACTACGACTCAGGATGCCATTTTATACAATACAGACCAGTAAACCACAGCATGGAATCTAGAGGGAAAATCAGGTTTCAAAACAATCATGGCCAGATTCCCCAAGAATGAAGGAAAAAAAAAATCTATATGAAAAGATAATGGAATCTTTTCCACCGACTTTTTATTTTGTCTTCCTTTCCTTCCCCCTAACCATCAAAGTCTGCTTATTCTGGTGTGGAAACCATTTTTCTTGCTTTTTTCCTTTTCCAGTAGTGGTCTCTACACTATTTGTCCCTATTGGACAAATGACTGGCCTGAGCATATCATCTTCCAAATTCACCCAAGTGACGGAATGTATGACATACATACAATTGAATATGGTATATCCCTAAAGAAAAGTGATAAAACTGGCCACGAACGTTTTGAAGCCCCTTGGAATACATCCTGATATTTGCATAAAGCTTTTTAGAAAGAGGTGCAAATACTTTGCTATTAAAACTAGTTAAAGCATCTAATTGTGTAAATGGTTCTCTCTAAAATATGTGGAAAGCCATCACTAATATAAGGAAGGCCACTCCCAGTGCTTTGTGTTTCTAAGACTTTGAATGAGCTCACTGCCTATACAGGTTCATGACATACACTATTCCTAATGTTGTATGTGTCTAGGTATTAAAAAATACCTGCAGTACGGTATCAGTCCCAGACCAATCAAGGAGTCCCGAGAGCTAAGTGACATTGCCCTCCACACACAAAAATGTGCAACCCTTTTATTATTTTGCCTATATAAAACAAACCAACACCCTCAGTCACTAGTGTATGATGGGGGCTTCAAAAGTTCAGGGAAAAATGAAATTGAAAGATGTCATTTTTTTCCACAATTTTTTGAGGCCCCTCATATTATACATGGATGGTTTAAGTCCTTGTAAACATAATTACTTAGCCAAGCATCGCTCTGTGTTAAAATGTGCTGGTATTCCAGTGTCTGACCATCATGATATGTAATATAAACAGACTGGAGAAATGTCAGATTTACAGCTCAAAGTGAACTTATACCTGTCTACAAGGATCTGATTGGCTCTCTTCCACTCTTCAACTGCGGAATTCTCCTTTACTTCCAGTTTCTGTTTCAAGCTACTTATTTCTGATTCATAATAAGCTCGAAGGTCTGCTATGTGTCGCGAGTGCTTTTCTTTCAGGTTCTGCCTCATCCTGGCGGCAAGAGGAAAAACACATTTGAGGAAGACAAGGCCTGCCGCTCCATCCCTTGAAAGCATACCAAGAACACAATCATTCTCAGAGGCAAAAACACAGCCATGTGTCCCATGCACACCCACAGAAAGCAGCACAGATTAATTCGCAGCAAGTTGACAACTAATAAAGATTTCATAAAGAAACAGATTATTTTTACAGTCCTTATTTAAAATGCTGCATAGCTCCCTTTTTAAAGATTATGCACATTATTACAACTCACTAAGACATATGCAAACAGAAAATCTAAGAACATTACAAGCTATTCACTGAAATACATACTTAGACAATATCACAGGATCTTCCAAGGAAGTCAATGAAATGCATTCTGGGACACTGTTGGCTGTACCTGGAAGCTGGGACTGACTGACTGAGGCTGATGCTACCATGACAGGGCTCTCCTCATCTACGGTGTTGACTGAGATGTCATTGCTAGTAATGGTATACACTGAAGGGAATGTGGAACTGGTCCTACTTTCATTTTGGAATGCATGACTTTTCCAAGAGTCCATTGGGGAAGTTTTCATGTCTGAAGGGTACTTTGGGAACCCCGATAACTGAGATGCGATATTGCTTGCTTGTGAAAACGAGTCTATGTCAGAGTGGCTAGAAACACTTGGCTCTAGGACAGAGTCTGGTGAGAAGGAAACTCGGTCATCCAGCATGTTCACAAATCCACGTGGCGGAATCCCTGACATCTGCTGATTTGGCTTCATGTGTAGCGTTGGGTCCAGAGTCAGTACCTAGAAAGAAGTCAGAGCACAGTAAGATTTCTCTCCTCGTACTCAGTAGTCTTTGTTTTTCAACAAGGAGGCTTTAAGTCTCCAAGAGGGAAGGAGGATGCTCAAATTAAAAGGTTAGAACCATGACTTTCGTATCTACTTGGCAGAAAGCTGATAACTTTACCTCAGGTGGATGGCTTGAAGTGGAAGCAGAGGTGAGATTCCTCTCAGGTAAATGCTGGCTTTCCCTTTGTTTTTTATCATAAATATCCTTCAGTGATGGTAGCTTCATCTCATTACTAGTGTTAGACTTAAAGATATGAAACAAAATTATTATTTCAATGATATTATCAGCTATGAAAACAACTTTACTGATACCAAGCTCAGCATTCTTTAAAAAAAAAAAA